CTGTGCAAAGTGTCAATCACCTATTGTCGTTTTTATCACCCCAAAATTAGTAGAAATTGACTAATTTAGTGTAGGAAACATTCAAAAAATATTTTTTTGTTGTGTTGTGAATCCATCGTAATCCATCGTCATACAGTACTAACTTTATATTCCTAAGGAGACCAAGAGCAGATGGATCAAAAACACCTTCAGGTATTTTAAGAAGAGAGATATCAACCTGCCAAGGGATACTGTTTTCAATTTGTATAATATTGGAATTGAAGAACAGAATAGATATCATTGGTTTTTGTGTGAAGAGATTGGTAGCAACTGCCTGAAAGGCCGTTCCTGAATAGGAATGAACATTTTTTGTGGTCTAGATTGCTGGTCACACTAGCCTAGAAAGTGATGAATCTGGTGACTACCTAGCAAAGAAGGAAGCGGTTTCACCAGAGCAAAATAAGTCTTCTGTATCGCTCTTGACTCTTCCTGGAGCTGAACACCTGGAATGTTTTTGAGACTTCTGGCAGAATCTGCAAAGACTTGCTCATTTCAAGGCAGCTATACACCAAAGTATCAAAATAAAGCTGTCAAACAGGCCTACTTACAGGATACTGTCGTGTGAATGTTCATATGCAGAAACTTGTACTGGAGAAAGTGAATGCTGTTGAAGTTTGGTAGATGATGGAAGAGCTAGTAAACACTCTGTGCCTTCCTAACTAAAGACCAAATCAGATTCTCTGAGTTTCGCTCTCGCTATCTGATCCGAAATATAAATATGTAAAAGCTAGCTGACTTCGTCGAACTAAACTTACCTGGATTAGACTGAATATTTGTGAGCCACAATAAAGCCTTGCGAGTCGTAGTGAAAATAAAATGAACACGATCACTTTGGATCTACGTACCTAATTACTAGTTATTCAATCTCGCTGATGGTTTTTGCTGCACTGTTCACATTTGATAACTTTCATTGTCAATTATCCTTCTTTCAGAAGTGAAACTCAATACTGGTACCTAGTGATTAGGTTGCAACACCTATTTGATAATCACATCCTTTTTGGCAAAATAGCTGAGATTTTCACCCACTCACTGAGGTTTTTGGAGGGTTCTAAAAACTGTGGAGAAAGAAAATTACACTTGATTACTCACGCACATTTGGAGATACGCCAATTTCCTTTTATGACGATTGCTATCTCAGCTAGCTGATGATAACTTTATCGCTGATTAAATTTATCAGCGACCGATATTGCTGAAACTCTCATGTTTTGTCATGGGCCATCCATTGATTTTCGATGTTTGTAGTTCATCGAAGCAATTTACATAGATTCATTCAACATGGATAAATGTCGAACAATCCTGAGGAGAAGCTGTCCTTTTGGTGTTTCCTGTTGGTGTTGCTCCCTTGGAACAATAGGACAAATATGCGGAACAATAGGACTGGTAAGAGGATTTTGTGGCATTGTTTTCAAATAAAATAGCAGCAGATTTTTTCATAGTAGGTTTATAAAAATGCTTTCTTGAGTAGTAATGGAAACAACTTGCATTTTTTCCAGATCTGTGAATCATAAATATAAGGCTGGTTGTAATCAATTTGTTGGTATTGGCCCTCTTTTGGGTTATCTGTGATGTTTTCATCAGAACAAGACTCATTACCTGAAAATCGTTCAGCAATCTCAGAAAATTTCAAAATCAAAGCCGGCTGAATTTTTCACTCTACCTGTTTTCATAGCAACTGTTCTTAAAATAATAGATAGGTCTATAAGGTATCTTGATTAGCTCATTTGATATCCAAAACGTTGAAAACTCATGAAAAACGTCAATTTCAGTTTTCAGGAGGATATACTTCATAACGATATAATAGTTGAGTAACACCATATTTGAAAGGTCTTTCAAATATAGTCATTAATTTTTATATCAAAGAACGCCTTGGGTCTGATATACCCAAAAGGAGAGAAATCAAATTTTCTATATGAATTTTTATTTCTGATAAGGTGTTACATAAATCATTTATATGGACAAATAGTTATGGAAAGAATGGGAAACAATGTCCTATTTTTAAAACAAAAAAAAACGGTATGCATTTTTGGTATCGTTGCACGAAACATCATGTATATCAATTATTCCGAAAAATTTGCCGTACATGCTTGACAAACAGATACAGAATGTTCTAGGCATATATATTTTTTACAAAACCGGCATGTATATCTTGTTTTCCGATATTTACAGAGGGCACATCTTCCACGTTTATTTTGTTCAATTTCGATTTGCTCAACCAACACAGTAGCACTAATTCTAGCTGCAAGCTGTCGAATTTCTCTGGGCAGATATTTGAATTGTGTCCATTTGAATCACTTCTGTATAAAACCATAGTGTTTATACCAGCAACATTGAGGAGCCCATATATAACTACCATGGGCCACCTAAGTGTATTTCTCGAAACATTATATAACCTGCTTTTTTTTCGGTATATATGAAACCATAGTCATATCTTCTTTGAAACCAAACATCCTCGACTCTTCTGGTCGTTTAGTAAAGAAATAATTGGGGATTTGCCTCTTATTTGTTCCAAGTGTTCCCACAATTGTCAGCTGATGATTTTTTAGTGGATTATTGGTCACTTTAGTAGAACAGAACCAATTATCCATTGTAACATTTCTCCTAGATTTTGACAATGGTAAACAAACCAAACAGATCAGATGAAACTTCTTCGAACAACCGAGTCAATCTTTCAACTTCTTCTTCGTCCATTATACTGTAAGAAACATACATTTTTTTAATAAAATTGAAGCATGGATTACAAAAATAGGGATGAAATTGTTTCAGATATATAAAAAAATACCTCCAAAACCGAAATCTGCTCTAAAATCGTTGTTCTCTAATACACTGCGTTGTAGTGAATGTTGAAGAAGCTACTGTGTTAGCGGAACAGGTTGTGATATATTTCTCAAATAAAGTTTGTGGGGATCTAATCGTCAGGTGTAGTTTAGGAAATTACTATTTATCATCATCAACTAATTGAGATTTTAATTTGTAGTGACCGTTTTCGGTTCATTAAACCATTCTCAAGTAAACTGGCGCAGTTTGACAAACATATCTGTAAATATAGTCAACATCTGTATATAGTCAATGTCATTAACCTACCTGAATAACATTGACTATATAGGTGGATTTGTCTGTCAAACTGCGTTAGTTTACTTAGGAATGATTTGATAAACCGAAATTGGTCATAACAAATAAATATCTAGGTAGAAATTAGACAGAAATTATTTTCTCCATCCTATATTCAATATGAATTTCTACAAAATAAGCAGTTCGTCAATCGGACAAGTGAATATAGCAATTTAAATATCTCCAAAACTATGGAAGATATGATAAAATGATATACGTTTCTTGTTGATCGTGATTTCAATGAAATTACTATTTGGGACTGAAATTCAAAATATTCAAATCAGTGCTGTCTGATAATCGACTAATTTATTCGAAGCTCTACCGTATATATGAAACTTTCATCTGACACAGAAGTCTTTTCCACGATGAAATAGAAACGGTTCCATCTCCTAATGAAAACCTACGAACTGAAAATTATTTAATTGCTCTGTAACGTGCATCTGGAACTAATGTAATCATTACTGTTTTCAGATGCTCAGGTCAATTCTGATGGTGATAATAATAATTGAAATGGCTGGAATTGAAGATGATCCCAAAGGAATTGGTACAATAGCTGTTTTAGCAGCATTTTTTTACGTTGCCTTCACCCTAATAACAAATTTAGCTTTCATTTTTGGAATTATCAAGGTAAATATATGAATTTTCAAATTCAATGTGTGTTCTGTCTTTCCAGATTCATTTTTGGAATCCTTAAAGTATCTATACAGGGTGTTCCAAATTAAGTCGACACCAATACCGTCACGTTTTCAAAATATTTCATAAAATTATATTTTTTCAAAGAAACACCCTATATTCCATCATGTATTTCGAATCGTTATAACATTCTCAACAACAGATCTTCCATCACCTTTCTACCTGAAGTTGAAAATGAGCGATATATGTGGAAATATTCATTTCTTTCACTAGTACCAAAAATTTCTTTGTTTGTACACCTCATTTTTCAGAAATCCCCAAAAATAAAAATCTGGAGGTGTCACGTCTGGTGAACGAAGAGGCCACTCAACAGGACCATTTGTAGCAATCCATTTGCTTCCAAAATGATCTCAGATCAGGATCATCGGATTATTTGAGTTTAAAAAAAAAACAAAAAATGCAATAACCATATTTCGAATTGGAAACGAAAGGAATGACAGAAGTCGCACTGATACTGTATTTCGTCTTGTTCTGTACATTTTCTAGGTCTCTTTGAATATCGTTCTAACGCGGCTCAGATGAAAATGCATAATTCGTCAAAATGTCCCACAAATTCTCAATTTCATGTCCTCCTGTGTAGTAGCTCAGTTCGATAAACCGCCCATTCACCATAATAAAACGAATTTCACCAAAAAATTGATCGTTTCAATCAAGTGAACATTGAAAATGTTGTCCGCCAATCTCTGTACAATAATCATTGTCGTATATTTTCGAACACTAACTTCAGGACATAGATTCAATTTCTCGATCCTACAGTGAGTCATGTGAAGAGTCACACTTCATTTTCATTAACGCACAAAAACCTTAGTTCTCACAAATTCAAACTTGTGAAGTACATTTTAAAGCCATGAATCCTCCCATGAGAGTTTTGCAATTTTGATGTGAGTTTTAAAATTTTTAATTCTGTAGTACAACTACTGATCATGAAATGATAAATTTTGTGTTAGTTGGCAACTCTGCGCAGTTAGTCATCTGTTTTCCCCTAACTATCATTTGTATTTGATGTATAGTAGTTGGTTCAAGCCGATTTGAGAACCTCCCACATCCCTTTTCACCTTGAAATGACCTCTTTGTACGTCGCACAACAAATTTTGAATTTTGTAGTACAACTACTGGTCATGAAACGATAAATTTTGTGTTAGTTGACAACTCTGCGCAGTTAGTCATCTATTTTTCCCCTAACTATCATTTGTATTTAATGTATTGTAGTTGGTTCAAGCCGATTTGAGAACCCCCACATCACTTTTCACCTTGAAATGACCTCTATGTACGTCGCACAACAAATTTCAAATTTTGTAATACAACTACTGGTCATGAAACGATAAATTTTGTGTTAGTTGGCAACTCTGCGCAGTGAGTCATCTGCCTTTCCCTAACTATCATTTGTATTTGATGTATAGTAGTTGGTTCAAGCCGATTTGAGAACCTCCCACATCACTTTTCACCTTGAAATGACCTCTATATACGTCGCACAACATAGCCAAGGTGACTTTGAGGAAGTGTTTCGTGTTTGACTTCGAACGTCCTTCATCCACGTTACATGATGCAGACCAAATTACTTTGAAGTAGTTTTTCGGGTTCAATTCACTTCCCATATATCCGATAACGTAACTTCAACCTCGAATGAACTCATGCCAGTTTTGACACAACGTATTCGAGGAGACTTTGAGAAAGTGTTCGACCTTGAATGACCTTGAATGTCCTTGAACTACGTCATTCGATGGAGACAGGATGATTTTGCAGTAGTGTTTTGAGTTTGACTTATAAACAACCTTGATTCACACCCCATTTCACGTGGCTTAACTGTCTGTTCCGTTAACTAACAGTTAGCACTGATATGGTGCAACTGGACTTTATTCTGGAAAACAATGAATATATAATTAGGTCTCACCACTTTATTTTTCATGATTTGCTGAGTGGAAACACGAAGTTAAAAAATTATGTAATGGAAGTCATAAAGAATTCTGCAGGAATAGGACTGCATAAAGCCTGTCAAAAATTATGTTTCAGTAAAAAACATTTTCGAATTAACTGATACTGAGGCCTTTCATATCTGAACATAGCGGACTGTCATACTGAACATATATTCCTGGATGAACCAAGTTTGTACTGCAATATACGTACTGAATAAACGATATATGTACTTAGTAAGTCCAGAAATGTACGTACTTAGAACGTATCTGATTGGTCCATGGATGTAAAGTTCTAAAATGGACCCAATACGTACATTCCTAATAGTCGTTTGCTATATGGACAGTTTATTCTTACATCTACCGGCATCTTATACGGGGGAACTTCCATTTCTATATTCGCCTGGCACTCATAATATTGACGTAAACGTATTCGGGAACGTATTCGAATTCCAATTTTTTTTTGTATAAAAGGTTATGTACTGATACTTGATCTATTATATTTACAAAAATTTATCTGTGAATAATTTATTTTCAACTATATGTTCAACAGTTTGCAATACACACATTCATTTGTTTCAGGAAAAGCCTATGTTTCTCCTCCCACACACATGTATTGAAGGGTTAGAAATTATACTTATTTTACTATATTATCTCGGAGGATCTTCCTTGATGGATGATCTGAATTATGGATACGATTTCTGGAAATATGTCCCGTTATACATATCATTTCTAGGTAGGTAGTCAATCTGGTTATGAAATATACTCATGTCATGACTATTCTTTATCATACTGATAAGAGTAATGAACGTTCTTCAGAAAAATTGTGTTTTACCACCTGGGTACTATGACAAATGACTATGAAAATAGTTTTTTACTTATTCCACTATCATTATGTTACTGTTAGTAGCATATTATAATCTACAAATGAAAGAATGTGGATACATTTGACACTTGACATTCCACTCCTGACATTTGGCTCTTGACTCTTGACATTTGACTCTTGTCATTCGACATATGACATTTGACAATCGACATTTGACATTTGACCCTCGACATTTGATTTTTGACTCTTCGCATATACTTTTTGCACTTCACATAATCCCATGTCTTTGACGGAAATCTCAAATGCATTGCAGATTTGATTTTATAGTTTCATTATGTATTTGGGTGCATGAGGCTGTACACTAAACGAAGTAGAATTTTTACAAGCATCGAGAGGGGTTCTTGACTTCATTACAGGTAATTCAGATGATGACAGGAATTTTCAAAAAAAATATGTACAATTTTGAAAAGTATGAAAAATAAGTGATAAAAAATTCAATAAAGGTCTTTTGACATAGAACCCACTACTCCGAGAATCTGGTTACATTCTAGTGTGGTACCGTTAATTGGATTTCTAGCCACTGTGATTTTGTTATTAAGTGTCGAAAATGTCAGAATACAAATTTCTAGCAGAGTTCACTAGCATTTTCAATAATAAAGTACTTCGGCTTTTCAAACAGTCGAAAACTTTCCCTGAAAAATATTGTTCAAATCCATGTTTTCATTTTTGTTCATTGTTAAAACCAACTGTCAGTTTATAATTAGAAAATACTCAAGGCTTATTTACGATTGAAAAAAGTTAAAAGACAAATGTGAAGTTATGAATTTGCTCATCCGTGATTGGCATAGAGCTAGTGAGTTATGAATCTGGTGATTTATGATCGGTTGACAGGTGTGAGTTATGAATTATTTTGGCTTCTCGCCCAAGAAGAAATGTTTGATAGATGATGTTTTTTCCCTAGTCAAAAAAAAATGTATAATAAAGCTCACAACAGAGGTCTATCATAAAAAAACAGGACTTGTACTGTAATAATTTCGCAGACGACACTGTCGTTATGTATGAGGATGATACTTGAGACGGGTTGAAAGAAAAAGCAGAAGAAGATATGGCAAATTTAATTAAATGTTTTGGATAAAAAATACTTTCAATAAACTATGAGAAAACCTGTTTCGTTCCATTTTCTTGTTACGTCAGTGGCCTCCCGGACTACAAGTTACAAATTAATATAAGCTCGGATCAAACTATTACGATTAAAAGAGCCAATAATGCGAAATATCTGGGCGTAATAGTGGATTGTCATCTTAGGTGGGATAAACACCTGGTGCAAGTCGGTAAAACTCTTCGTTCTCTCCTATATAGGTTCATATACTTTCAGCAAATACTGGATTCCAAGTATCTGAAATTCTTTATCAATCATTAGTGGAAACACGACTTACTTACGGTATTCTAGCTTGGGGGGCAGCAACAAATGCTCACTTGCAGAATCTTGAAGTAATATAAAAATATTTTTGAAAATTATATCTTTCAAAACAATTAGGTATTCCTCCGACCTACTATTTGCAGAAACGGAAGTCTTTGATTTGCGTCTGCACTATTACTCTAAAATTGTGATAAGACAATTCAAAAATAGATTTAATCTCCCACTCATCAGCCATAAATACCAAACTCGTCTGAAAGAGAATAATTCTCCGAAAATGAAACCAGCCAGAAAGAGAAAAGGACAGAGAAATCATACCTCATCTAGTAAATTTTATAACTTTTTGCCGACGGAAAACAAAGAAGTCTCAAACATATATTCCTTCAAAAAAAACTAAACATTATATTCTTTCTTTAGAACGTAAGGCTGTCCATTCATTGTTTGAATATTGGAATATTCAATATATTTTATCCTTGTTGATTATTTATATTCGTTACCTATGTTATGATATTTATGTTTCAATTATTGTATGTAAGGCTCATTAGCCTAATTTTATTACATCCACTATAATTTTATTATGTTACAACATTTTAGTGAATTATACATAATTTTATACATATAATCCTTATATAGAAATGCAACTGAACCCGATTTTGAAGTGTACTAATTATTGTCAATATTTGGAATAAGTAAATCACCCACGCACAGGCACTGCCTTAGTGGATACTTGTTTATTCGAAATATCTCTGAAAGAAAGTGCACAATTATTATATTATTGTATTTTATTTTGAGAAACTATTATTATTTTGAGAATAACTTATTATAATTATTATTAATTTTCATTATCATATGATATGATTTCATTGGCATTATCGTTGTTTATGTAATTTTACTCTCGTTCATTTCAGTTTACGTTGTGGGATCATTCATCTGCTCGATTTGGCTCTTCAGGGAAATGCACGATAAAATAAATACAAAAATTACTACCGTGTGACTTTCCATGGAACTGTGTCTACAAACGAAAATCAATAATTTGATATTGTTCATTCTGATAGAGTAGCATCCAGGGAGAGGTACTATTGCTTATCCGAAGAACTCAACCTACAATTTATATTGGCAATTAAACATTATACTGAATACTTTCTTGTATTTTTTTCGTTTTGAGCATTTTGAGTTTGTGAGGTTGGATACGACTGGATATTTGAAGTAACTCAGAGTAAGGGATTATATCCGTTCAATATCAACGAAACCAGGTTCCCTCGTGAACGAATTTTCATTCTCATGGTACTATTGTTCAACATTGATTTTCACTGAGGTCCTGTAGGAGCTACTGGGTTGAGAATAAATGGAGTTCAATTGATAAAAGTACTGAAGTGGTTGAAGACCAATTAGTCTGTAGTAACAACCAAATGGCCAGCGAGATGACCCGACATGACCCATAGAAAAAATTATGTAATCGTTATATAATCGTCATCCAATAATGTAGATAAAAAAGTATATTGAAATAATCTTAGCACATTTTTGACAATTCAATAATCAACAAACTTTTACAATATATTAATAACATCACAACTTAATTAGTAACATCAATACAACAATAATACACATTTGCCCAATGTGACATATATTTCGTTTGAATTCGACGCTACTGAGAAGGAATTCAAAGTTATCTTCTCATGTTTGAATACTATCAAAAGAGTTTCAAATATATTGAAACTGACATAGAGACTGTCAAAAGAAGCCCAGAGACTCCAGAAGAACTCGTCGATCCAGAATGTTTTCGCTCATCTGTAGTACCAGTTGTACTAGTAGTAATAGTTGTTTCCATTGTGGTTGTAGTTGTTCTGGAAGAAATTGTACTTTCAGACTCTGCAGTCGTTGGATAGCCAGGAGGATGAATGTCTACAGGGATTTTATGTTCCGTGGCAACTCGTCGATAAAAGTCAACTGAATCTTTGGCGCTTCTAGATTTATCGTCGTCAACGCTGTAAAGGCCGTAATGTGGGCTGAAATATTTCAAAAAATTTGCATAAGCCAACGAGATACACAATAGACTGTCGGAGATGACTGAGTCAAAGATATTTCCCGGGTGTTTTGGCCATGGTCTGCAGGGTTTTATGCCTGAGGTTTCATCTGCATCGCAGTACTCGAATTGGTTCTCATTTAAATAGGAAACAAGAGGCAATGAACATCAATAAATGTGTACTGAAAGGTACACGAGGTCAGGTAATTCAATAAAGAGGAACCAAGCCAAGCCTACCAACAAGAATACAGAACCAGAGTCAAATATATACATTTGATAATGTATACCGCACTAGTAGACAAAACGTCAGGCATAAAAACCTGTAGACCACGACCGAAAAACCTTGAGAATTGCTTTCACACATTTCTCAATACGTTTGAACCATATGGAAAATCTTTTATTATTGATTTAAGTTACAGAAAAAAGGTTCTGCGAAGACCAAAACATAAAATGCAATCATGGTTATAGAATTCCTTCAGTTGTATACGAGGCTCATTGAAAAATATGACTTTGGCTCAGGAGTGAAGTATTTTCATTTTCGACCATGTTGAAAATCATTATTGAACAAAATTAATGTCCATTCAAGTGATGTTCAACAATAAACAATTATCTCCTGCGATTCATAGACACATAACTTTTGCGTGTATTACTGAACGCTCTAGAAGATTTAGGTATTCGTGGAACGTGTTCAACTCTCATAAAAAGTACCTTGAGAGTGAGAGAAAGCAGTGTGTCAAAGTAGGTAATACTTTAGGTGAATATGAAGTGATGAAGTTTGGGGTACCTCAAGGCACCATACTTGGTCCAATTCTCTTCACAGTATATCTTGATGACCTGTTTAATGTTCACACTGATGGGACAATTATAAGCTATGCAGGCCACACAGCAATTTTTTATGAAGCCGATAACTGAAACTCGTTCTACACTAAAGCACAAAATGACTTTAAAACAATCATTGATTGGCTCAATTTCAAACTATTGATTATAAATTTTTCTAAAACAAAATATTTAGCCTTTTCAGTGAAAAACAAAAACTTACCCATTCTTCAACCCCTTGAAATCAGAGGTGAAAACAGCATCATGAAAATCACACAAGCTACAGAAATAGAGTATCTCGGTGTAATGATAGACAATCATTCAAAATGGAACTTACACATTAGGAAATTAATGCAAAAAATTAGAAGCATATTGTCTAAATTCAAATATTTAAGAAACATTCTTGAAGAAAAACATCTCTTAATGCTGTATTGCGCAATAGTGGAATCCCAACTGAGATATGGCATAATAGCTTAGGGAGGGGCATATAATAACATCATAAAGAATGTTGAAATAATTCCAAAATGGATTTTGAAAATAATATTCAGAAAACCAATTACCTACCCATCAGATGACCTTTTCAAGCTTGGCAATATATTAGATTTTTTCACAAACTGCACCTAAACGATTTGATCTCCACAAACTTTATTGAAAAAATATATCACAACATATGTGGCTGAACATTAGCTTTTTCAAGTGACTAATCATCGAGTAACGGCCGAATCAATGAAAAAAATATATTAGATGTAAAACAAATATTTCATTTGACACTTGCTGTTGGCCAGAAAAAAAATCAGATCAAAATATTTCTAGATTATTCCTACTCCACAAGGTCAAAAAAAATCACCATTTTAGTTCCACATTTGACTAAAACTATAGCCCAGAGATCTAGCATGTTTCTTGGGCCAAAGATATACAACGATCTACCAAATAAATTGAAACAACTAAACTCATTATCTCTGTTCAAGAAGAAACTGAAATTATGGCTGACTTCAAGATCAAGAATTTCAACACATCGATCAGTCGATATAAAGAATACATACTATAATTGATATTGAGTTAAGGCTATTTAAAATAATTTCTTTGACACACTCGTTCTGTCAGATTTTTCTGTGGAAATCTGAAGCATGCCATTATCATATCAACACAAATAATACTTTCCTGATTTTGATGATCGCGCTTGCCCCATATTTCATGATTAATTTATGACGTAAATATAACGTTTGAAACCATTCTTTTGTACTAATTATCCTTACTTCACAACAATGTTGGGTTAGGTTAGGTCCATAGTGACTGGGTCTATTCGACCCTCCACCGCAACACGCAAAGGTTTATTGTGGCTCACACTTATTCACACTCGACCAAATACACCTAGCTTGACGAAGCCGATTAGTTTGTATGGTGACACCTCTCACCAGGTCAGTACAGATGATAAGAGTACAACTCTGCCTACCTGTAAGAAGGCCTGTTAGACATCGTAGTTCATCCCTACTGTAGTCCAACAACTGTTTGGTATCAAGATTCTAATGGTAAATAAACGCCTTGGAGTGAGCCAATCCTGAAAGATTCTGCCAGAAGTCCATAAATCTTCTTGTCATCCAGGTGTTCAATCTTTGTTTGGCAAAGCCTAAAGCGATGCCAATGACAGGTTCTGGTCCGATGAAGCTGCTTGCAGCTTCCATTTGGAAGGGAATCGGCAGCCTCATTGCCTACCAGGCCAGTATGGCCAAGAATCCAGACCAGAGACAATCTGTTGAGTGTTCTTTCGAGGAGAGTCGTTTTTGGTAATTTGCTATCAATTTAGACGTTGCTCGATAGGAGCCAAGAGCTTCCAACGCCACTTGACTGTCCGAGAATATTTTTACTGACTTGTGTATGAGGTTGGATTCTTCCAATCTCTCCGCATAAAATTCAATAGCGTAAATTCCCCCTTGAAATACAGTCGCATAGGTTCCTAGGCAGGTTCATATCCCTATCCTGGGTCTGCAACACCTGTACTTGCAGTACTTGCATGACGTTAATGTTTTGCAAGTGGTTCCAACATACTGAAACACATTGTATATTGATGCATATCTCTGTGCCACTTATCACCTGGTTTTTAGAAACTATTGATAGTTTACGAAATGACCTGAGGATCAGGTGTTTGGATAATTGAATATTTTAAAAAATCATGCATTGGCCTTAAGCAAACTGGACTGATTTTCAAGGCTTTATTGAGAGTCTTTCTTTCTACTGAGATATTACTTTTGGGTAGTAGATACTATGTATAACCTCACCTATACGCTTCGTTCCATTCAAAGCTATCCAAAAGATTGCAGTAGGTGTAGCCAGTAACATTAATTCCATTTTTGTAAATGGCTTTCAAAATATATTGAAGATGATCCTGAAAAAATAATAATATGCATAGATCTATCCTTCATCAAATTCATTATCAGCCGTGACAATTTTTTATATCACAAAATATTTTTTTGCCAACCGTCCTAGCCTAGGAAGAACGTATTTCTCGCACTAGGCCGTTGAAGAATCACATTGTTGTGGTCATTATGAATTATGAAATAATCTTGGTAGGTATGGTTTTGAAAAACCTATTAGTATAATACTATTAGTATTAGTCATCAGAATGAATTCTGTTGGAAAAATTACAATTATTCGAATACTTACAGCAATATAATTTATCCTGAAATTATCCTGTGTGGGATGTTCGTCTTCCACACCATTTCCTGTTATTATTATTTCTGTTACATGAAAATCATCTCTCACATATGACAAAAAGCTTTGAATGCTCCACGGGACGACCTTCAAAAGTAAAGTGATGAACTCCTTTCTCTTACCTGATAAGTCATGTGCTTACGGAAAGTCCACTGGACATTTCAACCCAAGAGTCATTTTGCCAATACTTGACAGCCAAGTCGTTATCATACCCATAAGTGTCATAATACACTTTAGCATCTTCTACACCACGAGCTCCATAGTAATTTAGAGCCATAAAATCTGCGGTACCACGTATTTCTGAAATTTCCTCTGGCGAAAAATAGGGTAGCCGTGAACCATTAAAATGTTCTTTTTCACTTCTAGCGTAAACTATTTGCTTTACCGTTTGTGGCCAATCGTTGACGAAAATTGGATTTGCGTATAATCCAAACTGAAAATTATTATTAATCATGAACAATAGATTTGACATCAAATTGGTCAAACACTTTCAATATGTCAATTTTTCCTTCAATTTTACCTAATATTTACCTCAAAATCGTGTCTTCTTTTAGCTGCTTTAATTTCATTTTTAGTATTAACACGTGGTTGAGACCAAGATCCATCAAGGGCTATTGATACTTTTCCTGAAGAGATCAATAAGTAATATAGTGAAAACATCTCGTATCAAAATTGTTTTTTTATTATTTTATGAGCCGGACCTATGAAAAATGTCATTATCAATTGTACAGACAATGATTAACATAGTAGCTCTGTTGTAGCTCTATTAGTGCATTTCAGTTCATATGAGAGAATTGATAACTTTCAACATACATATGAACCAAAATACACCAATGGGTCGGTCCGAATTTTAAAAAAATGAAACATAAAGGAAGTTCTCGAAACTAATAATATAGTCCAGAAGGTATTGGGCAACCCGAAAAACATAGTGTCGAAAAAAGAAAAGTTTGGGATTCACGAGATAAGCTGTGAGGATTACGACTGAAAGTATGTTGGTCTAACTAAGCGAACGATAATAACGCAGTTCAAAGAACATGTATCTCATGTTCAGTTTTGTATACCAAAGAAGTTCAATATAGTTCTACATATCTTAGAAAACAGCCGAACAATAAGTCAAAAATCTTCAAAATTTTAGAGATCAGTATGACAACAGGCTTTTAGATGCCTTCCCACGTTCAGAAATTGAAAAATATGGAATAGGATCAATTAAAGTAGCATCCCAAACAGCACGTTATTTGTTTGAAAGTGGTTGATAATTTGAATTTTATTAGTTCGGACTTCCATTGTCTAATATAATTCTTCACATTCGTCTTCGAGTGAAGACGATTGTGAAGAATAACCAACGATCGAAACGTCGTGAAGTAACTTGGTATATGAATTCACTCATTATTTATCTTTCAATTTTTTGTTAATTTTTCATAGCTCTGCTATTCCGGATTTGCTGGTTTCTCCTCGCTGAGTGTGTTTCTTGTGCTCAGCAATGCGAACTTTCAATGGCCTCTTAGGCCCTTGAAATGATTCTCCGCACTCGCAGGGTAGCCGGTAAATGCAATTCTTGGAATCGCAGTCCGCGTTTGGTGACCTGGTTTTTGTAAGGCTGCTATGGATAGTGTTCCCAGATCTGAAGCAGGTCCTGATGTTGTACTTGGACTCAATCCTTCTTATCCTTTCCGATAATCCTCTGATGTAGGGAAGTGCAAGTACTGGTTGTGGCGGCTTCTCTTCCTTGTGGAGTTCTTGGTGTCTTCTAGCTGAGGCCTGTTTTATCATCACTCTGGAGTAACCACTCCATTGTAGGTCATTTTTGTAGGTACGTTTGTAGGTTCTTTTTGAAATTGCAAACAACCTCGGATGTATACCATTTGGGATATTTATGTTTGAACACTTCGAAAATAGGAACATGTGAATCAATAATATTATATAAGACATCATAGAAATTACTAACAGCTAAATTCACATCATCACAATTCCGAAGGAAAGACCAGTTCGTGGAAAGTACTGCATTATATAATCCAGGGTGATTGGCTCGTTTGGAATTATAAATTTTTGGTTTTGGTTATCATTTGAGTCGAAACTAGTTTCGCTTATCAAAAAATTATTAAAATCAATAATTAAAGCTGGATGATGAGGCATATCTTCAGGAACCATTGGAGCTCCGTCTAGTGTCACCTCACGTTTCTTTTTGGAAATGATCAGGTCCAAAAGCCTATTCAAGTCATTCAAGATATTATTCTATTGCCAATATATGTACCTATTCGGTACATTAAGGTACGTTAAGGACGGCCCTTACGCACGCGTTCATAAACGTTTGGATCTGTCTTCTGTATGTCGCTGCGCACTGGCCCCAGGCAGTGCAGGCATACATGATTATCTTTTAAAGCGGTGATAGTTTTACTGCTCATAGTCAACAATATAGCGCACATTCATGTCCGAGATACGGCTAGCTCTGTATTTTGACTGAGGAGAAAGAGGAGGCAGACATACTTGCGCTACGAAGCGATTTACCCTCTCATAAGAAGTTATCACTTCAAAAATCTGAAAACATGTCTTGTGTCTTTGTTAGGTCGGAAACTTCTCATACCACTCTACAATGAATGGCTAGCTTTCAACCGATATCGGTGTGAAATACTCTCATGACAGTTTACTCCACGAGTGTCATTGAGGTGTCATTTGATTCGAAATCTCACACAAAGTAATCCACAATTGGAGGACTACACTACAGGACTACAGGAAAATACAGCAATTCACATTGGATTCGAATCGCTGAAGATTGAATTAATTTGGAAAAACATTCTCAGAAAGTTTATTCCACATGAACGCCTGTCTCCAAATGAAAGAATTCTCAAACAGTGGAGTTCGAGATGCACTGAGTTGAACCTCAAATTTTGATTTGTTCGAGCTTTCGCAAGAGGGCAGTAGCTGGTTAACGGAAAAACAGAAAACATATTTCAGATATGTTTCATTATTTGTTTCCCTAATGAATTTGTTGATCTGTTCGCTGTTGGAGATTTCTTTACTATATAACCAACATCCTTCATTTCATGAAATGCGATGGTTGACCTTGGGAAAAGTGGCTATATTTAAATTTTTCTTCACTGAAATGTTACTTTTCAACATATGCACCACAAGGTAGAGGATTTGACAGTTTCAGAATTTTGCGCCAATAAGTCAAAATCAAATCCTGTGTGATAGTTTAGCATTTCTTCAAATTGCTGTTAGTCCAAATTTCGTTTCTATGGTAATGAGCAACTGCATTAATCAAAACCTTACCAAGATTTTCATATTGACAATGAAAAAAGCCACTTTCTCAATGGTTATTTTTATTCCATCACTACCCACACAGCCCCAGATATTCATGGAATATTCCCTCTATGTCATTAAACGAACGTATATATTCCAAATATTCATAGAATATTCTTGGAATATATACATGCCTTCAGAATATTCATAGAATATGCTTGAATGAATATGGTAGGATTATTCCTGCAACAAATCGGTTTATTCTCATTGTATATGTCTTTTTGTATGTGAAATTATTCAATTAAAAAGCGACAAATCTTGGCAACAGAGAAATCGGAAAGTGAAGTATTGGTCAATTGGCAGTTTTGCGTTGAAATCGACATTTGATTTAACATGGCGGTTGACATAGCAGGTTCGCGTGTGCAATGCATGATGTATTGGTGTTATTATCAAAGTATGATTCTCTCATGTTTAGTGTACCATTTATAGTTTGAGGCTGTCCAATTTGCAGCACAGCAAATAGTTAACTTTTGCATCTTCAAACAGTAGAGTTACATATTCAGTCTTAAAAAAAAAGTAAATGACAATAGTATTGATAATAAAGTCATGGTGCTTAACCTATAATACCTCATTTCAGGACCGGGGAGAGTTGGTGTGTGGGATTTGTTGGTTTGACTAAAAAATCAATTACCTCCTCGGTGTCGATGTCAATTTTGCGGTGGATTGACATTGACGCCAAACCGTTTAGCCTTTTCTGGCTTGTGGAGTTTCTTAAATGAGTTTTGAGGAGTTTTAGAGAAGAGAATGTCCTTTCAGGGTTATATGTGGAAACAGGTAGTGTCGTCAAGATCTTTGAAAGTTTGTTCGCACATTGACGTAAGGTTTTCCCATTGTGTTTCGGGGAAGTTTTTTTGAATATTCTCTTTCAAACACTTGGTTGTCCTCCTAAGTCATCGTCGATCCTGTCCTTTCTAGGTAGGTGGACAGGTCACTAGTAGATATCTTCTTTATATCGGCAGATGTAGGCCAAGACTCGCCAACCACACTCTCTTATTGACGATAACTTCGTACACTCGCATAGGACTTGCCTGACAGTTTCATCTTCCTGTTCACACATCCTGCAAGAGGTGTATCCACCCCATATTATGGAGGTGTTTTCTTAGTTGACAGTGACCAGTAAGAAGTGAGAGTAGATTTTTCCTGGTCATCGCTAGATCTGGAGTACACTCCCAATCCTGAGCCTCCTTTGGTTTTTGAGCCGTATGTATATATGCGTATTGCATTTGTAGCATCTGACTTTGTGTTCTGTTTCATTTGTATTTTGTAGGGTTTACTAAACACAAACATGGGTACAATTGCATCACTGGTTGCCTGCAGCAGAGGTGGCGCAGTGTGCGCTTCCGCCATGGGCTCAGCCTCAATTGACCCATTCCTACTTCGAGGTTTACACCAGCCGTGTGCAATCGTAATATGGTCATTAACATAACCTTCTAACGTACAGGTCCAGAGGGGACAGACCACTAATTAATTCCATTGCCGCGGTTGGTGTTATTCTCATGTCTCCTGTGATGTTTAAACAAGGCAATCATTGTATTTGATGCCNACAAATATTCATTGACTAAAATACGAGCTCTCTATGCGATTCGGTGCGTACTTTCATGGATCTTTTAATGAATGAACGAATAAATAATGCCTTTACCTTCGTTACCCAAGCCCAAAGGCCTGTGAAAGGTCAGTAAAAATCCCAAAATAACATGTCACTCAAATGCATAATGCTTTTTTATGATTATTGGTCAATTCCATCAGATATGAAGCACTCATTTCATTCAGAACATTAAAACTTTCTGTCACAGATGAGAAAAAAATCTACTCATGTCACGATGACAGGACATGAAATCATTCATACGCTTACTTGATTCAATCCCAGTCATAGGTTCAAACTTCAAAGTATATTTTTATGCCTAACGTTTCGTCTACTAGTGCGATATACATTATCAACAGCGATGTGGTAACGGTTTATGTTCATTGCATATTCTTTTCTATTGAAATTATCCTTGTGTTTTCGAATCTCTATTGAGTTTCTAAACCTCCGGGAACAAAAGGAATATACAGGTCACTGTTTCAGAAGGTCTTCTGCTTTCAATTGAAGGGGTTATATTTTTATGAGTGATTAATTTTTGGGAAAGAAATTTATTGGCTTTCTACTGCTCCATCTTGATACAAAAAGAAATGTGGGAATCTTCCACAGAATCAGGAGCAAATATAACGGATATTAAGAAGCACGGAGGATGGAAGTCCGCGACGGTATATGTCTATCTATTAGGGATAACCCACAATAACCATTTTCTCCTTCGAGAAATGATGGCTCATTTATGAAGCTATCACT